TTCATTAGACTGAGTTTACATCAACTAGTTTCTGTTCAATGATTGGAATATTCTTCTCATAGTTTAACATTTTTGTCAGCATCTTGTTCAGAATTTTGATCATAAGCATCTTGAATACTCTGCATTAATAAAATCTTATTGATACGTATTTTGTAGCTAAGCTACAACGTTCAGTGTATATATATATTATACATGTAAACAGCATGGATTTGTTGTACCATCAATGAGTGTAGCGATCCTGTTTGTATACTTAATTCAGATAATAAGTTACCTATTAATGTATATACAGAAATTACGACACGAAGGTCAAAGGGGTATCATTATCTGACATAGCCCTTGCTTCTATCCAATTGAAAACCAAAATACCTGCGCTATACAATCCTGATCGTATTATATTTACATATTGCTCTGTGGTCACCCATTATGTCTATATTAATCTGGACTGCATTCACAGTATTGTAGATGCAGTTCAGAGAGTGCGCATTAATATTTTTCTGTGGTAGGCTAAATACCAATAGTATCGAATACCTGAATGATCAAGGATTTCAGGCTAGACACATCATGTTCATGAGCTCCCATCAATCTGAAAGTTCGCTTCGGTCCTATAACCGCACAGTTTCGACAACACAGAAAAAGTCACTCAGTGCATCGTTGTCTACCCTGACACTTACAGTTACCGTTCACACAGCGAGAGTTTCGCGATCCCCATTTACCGATCACGCAGCGACAGTTTCGACATCCCCACAAGCAGTTTCCTCACAAACCGTAGCATTTGTTTCATCGGAGTCCCTTTCTGCAAGCGATAATCCTCTTCCTTTAAACTCACTCAGACAAAACATGAATGTAAATGTCCAAACCAATACGGCTACACCAAGTTTCTTCGCCGGCTCATCATTTTCAGGCTGTTCGTTCACTTTTAACTCGAAGTGACGTGACGCCGCCATTTTTTCTGAATGAATGGACCGGCACGGTAGCCCTACGGTTTACACCTGCGTAGTGAAATTTTAATTCTCTGGATTTAAGTACTGATATTAAATAGTAATTGTTGAAAGTGTTAAACATATTCATTTCGTCAGCTTATAAAGTTTCAAACTTTATTGTTTTATCAATTTCTCATTATTTTACTGTTGTTTTTCCACGCACTATTTTTTGTCGTCGTCAATATGGCTGTTCCATCAACATCGCAACACTAACGATTGAGCGGGAAATTTGAATTTCAATTATTTCTAAAAATTAAAAAAAACATGACAAAAATGTAAATATAACCATTGAACGTCTGTCTGATTGCATTTATTGTCAATATGAATGCAATCTGGGTGACAGATAAATATTAACGGACGTCATTCTATTTATCTGTCACCCTGATTGCATTCATATTGACAATAAATGCAATCTGACAGACGTTCAATGGTTAAATACATCGCACGTTCTTCATGAATATTTTCTCGAGTGTTCATTTTCGGTCCCGAGTTATTAAGTGTTTGCTTGTGTAACGTATACACAGATATACGTAAATCTCCTCAAGTAATTCTGCAAAGAGAAAGATATTTTGTTACATTCTCACTTATTTCTTACATTTTCCTTCGGCGTCAGTAAACATAAACAAAATCATAACACCAGGTAAACTCTTTTGAAGAAAAGAAAAGTTAAAACTCCTACAATGAAGTTATTTTCAATTTATCTAAACCAAATTAATGATAATCTTAGGTATTTTCATATTGCTAAGATGATTTTGATCATCGCTAATAAAGTTTAGAAAATGAATATGTCGCGTATATAATAATAATAGATAATAAAATCTAAACATATAGAAGAAATTTCTAGTTATCCGTTTCTTATTCTGATTACTAAGTTTTACAGATAGAAAAGTGATTCCAGTCAATACTATAATGGGATTAATTGACCTTATCTTCAATTTAGACACAAGCTAGAACAACGAAACTCGCCATCTTTCGGACTTTATTAATCGGTTGTATCATTTCAGTCGCTGCTATGACTTCCTGGTCACATGAAAATGATTAATATATCGTATAAAAAGAACTTTCACCATTTTGAAAATTCTTTTACAGTAAATCATGTATGTAAAACGAAATAAGGGCAAAGGGAATGTTGGATTTCAACAAAATAAAAATTAATACCATAAAAAAGGTTTTATAAAATGAAAATATAAGGAGAAAAAAGACAGGGTTCCCGGAAATAAATGGAAAAAGTGAATATGTATGCACAATCTTAATTCATTTGAAAAGTGAAACATCGTACATTATTTTCTTTTAATACCATAGATCAAAGAACATGTCAAACTTCACTGAATGTAAGATAATTGCCAGATTATTTCAATCATTTAGCATCACATAGCACTCCGAAACACGTGTACAATGCACGTATATACATGAACTTTGTTTCGAATTGTCCCTTGTTTGGATTTAGTATGTAACTTCGGAGACAAATATCAATGTGCACCCTGAACGAAAACAGAAATAGATATATAGTGTCATTCAATATGATTAAAAGGTACAACGGTATCGGGATCAAGTTTAACGACTGAAGTAGCCACCATGTAAATAATACGATATCTTGAGACCAGCCATGAAACGGAACATCAGATTCCTAATGAATGAATCAGGTAATGCCAACGAGCATAATGTAAATGGTGTCCATCCAAACAGAAATGGCCAGAATGGAAACAAATAACTCTCAATGCTGGTGATCTTGAAGGATGTTTCCTCATATAAACTGGAAAAAACAGTGCAATCATTTCATACGCTTCTAATATTTCATTTTACAGCAATATCCTCAGACTTCATAACGAGAAATTGTCTATAAGGACTAAATATCAATTACTTATCTTTGTGAGACTAAAGGGGCAGTTATCCTTCTTCAACATTCTTAAATGTTTTACATTGTTTATTTTAACTGCTTAACATCTATGCATTGAATACTTTAAATATAACTTATTTAATTAGGCCTAAGTGTCAACGGCTTATATCATATTAGTAACTTAAAAGCTCGTATATTGTACGCACATTGAAGCTTCTCGTTATATTCTTATATGGCTGTGTAAACATCATAGATCTTGACGTGACAGTCAGGGGCTACGCATATTCCATAAAGAATATATCATGCATTCTGTTAGTATATATATACCCTTAACTATGGGTCGGGAAATAATCTGTCCTACTGTTGGTTAGCATGTTTCCCCGGAACTACGAGTCATCAAAGAAAATGTCCTGCAGTGGACTAATGTATATGTACCCTAGTTTACGGGTCAATAAATAATCTATTCAGCACTGACAGTATGGGCTTCCTATATTGAGGCAGTCGCCGCTGAGTCGAAGTTGAGCGTTTCAGATCAATCACAATATCTGGGAAATGGTGTTATCTACGTCGTTCACATTTTATTGTATAATCTGTTATTACAAAACGCTCCATGTACGCTTTAAGGACAATAAAAATTCCGATTAAACTAACAAACTGTTATTACTAAAAAATGAATATATGATATATATATTGAAAAACAATTTCAATATAACAATCACAAAAGTCGATTCATTTTGTAATGATTGGTGATGGTAAATTATTTCACAAAACAGGCATATTTCACTGAATCAGAACAGCAGTAAAACGACCTAAACTATGTATCTAATTGAAAAGAGATGACGTTTGGAATAGGATGTGAACAACAACTTGTCTTGCAGTTGGTTAGTATAAAATAGGGACCACTAAAGAATCTAGTGTATATAATACTCTTAACTCTGAGTCGGCAAAAAATCTGTCCATCAGACTCTAAGTATATATCGACTCTCTTTTACTAGTGTGTGCGCATTTTTTTTTTTTTTTTTACTGACATCTGTAAATTGTTTTATAGGAAATGTGGTATCGATGTTGTGGTATCTTCATTAAAAGGAAGACAGATTCTCACGATTTTCTTCTAGTTTAGGAACTGTATTAAGCATACATTAACAGTTAATATATTAATTGCAATGTTAACAACCAAAAAAGTGGTAACGTAAATAAAAAAAAAAACAACTAAAAATCAATTATGGACGCCGTTTTCGTTATTTCTTTTAACACTAGAGAGAGGACAGACACGCACGTTAATTTACCTGTAGGCATAGTTATGACTAAAGTCCAGTGCCCGCTTTCGATCTGAAGCCTAATGCACCTGTAACTTTACGGTATACTACTAGTCTTGATGTTTGGCAACGCCAGTAAACGTATTTAAGATGTAATAATCTAGATTTAACTTTAGCTTTCTGGGTTGTTGATCATATTGCTTATGCCACTAGGTGCGCGATCGCCGCTTTGTTTTAATTCCGACCAAAGGCATCCTCCAAATACTAGGTCAATAGGATTCATACTCTCATTAGGAAAGCGATCCTGTATTGGCCTTGAAAATCATGACAAGCCGGCACTTCGCTACCTTGAATTCCTTAACTATAGATAAAATTGGCAGTTGCAGTCTGGAGGATTTTTCTATACAATCCGACTGAAGTAAACTCTAATTGGACTCCCAGCACGTTTTCTCATGTAGCTGCAACTGACTTCCCTAATCCGTCAACACTTTTGACAGGAATCTCTTCCATGTTAGTAAATCCAGGCATTATTTCTTTCCTTATAGATCGTTTCCATCCACATTTTTTCATTCATACTTTGACCAATATGTTTTAAACTTCTCATTCTGCATTTTTCTCCTTCATTGAGCTATATGGTCGCTTTTCAGGACTGGGCATCTCGACTTCTTCCTCTTGAATTGATGCGAGCCCATAGCAAGTTTACTTCTAGTGCTGTTAACACCCATCTTTCTTGTATATGGTATGTTGTTGTTACGGTCAGATCATCAATGAAGCCTCTCATCGGTGGATGACATGTCCGATCCAAAATTTTCGACTCCTGTTGCCTTGTTCACCATACTGTTTTTTTTTTTTTATATATATTTCGTTTCAGTGAATTCGTGTCGTAATCCAAACGTCAAGACAACAAGCCAAAGCTCAAATCATGCCATGACGTTCACAAGTGAAAAGGCAGTTGATGGCTGTATTAATCAGAACTTTGGAAATAAATGTTGTATACATACACAAGCAAACCCTTCACTGTTGGAAGCTTGGTGGCAGATTAACCTTGGTGGTCCAGTCGTTATGGAACTTGTGAAAATATACAACAGAAGTAAGTAAGAAACAAAGCACATGAAAATCTCCTTTTCTAGTTCATGACAATTAAACGTAATAAGCATCCCGTAGCAAGAAGGTAATACACCATTTTTGTAGTGTGAGGGTATGTTTCTATGTGACATAATAACTATGGTATTGAGCTTCTTACACCGTTGTATGATTATGGTGATAGATCGTACACCTGGTAAACAATAGTAATAATACTTACTGGGTACTGTTTAGTTTAAGTATTCTTAGATAATAGTGCGTGTTTTCCGGAACATGTATCTTACCAATACGATCTTTATAATATGTTATATGTTGCACATGAGTATGAACATTGGGCATAAAAATGATACGTAGCGTAGATACTATCAATAATGCAAGCAATGTTAATCGCATTTACCTTCAACATAATTCAAATGCAATTTTTATAGATCGCATTTTTATTATGTCAATGTTGCAATTGAAACGAGTAAAATTTCGGTGTTGTCATAAGCAGCAATATCCATTAAGCTTAAGATTTACTGTTTATTTCGCACAGATGATGTAGCCAAAGAACGATCAAGCCGATTTGGTGGCTTTCAGATATACCTATCAAATACAACAGATTGGAGAAACGGTGACAACTGTCATACAGATACAACATCTACATGGCAATCGATGGACCTTGCTCCATCTATTCAATCGTGTACAGGCAACACAATCTACCTGACTATCTATGTTGATCGACGACCAAACAAACGTTTCGATTGGTATTCTGGCTACGCTATCCTCGAACTCTGTGAAGTCGAAATTTATGGTGAGCTCATTCAGTAAGAAAATATCGTTTACTGATATATACATATATAGTATGGACGGGAATAATGTCATAAAACACACACACAAATAATGAACAGCTTCAGTCAGCCGGGTTGCCGAAACGTTTAGTTCTCTCTAGACTGTGAAGTTCTGTCGTAGTGATCAACTTGAAATAATTTCACCGAGAAAACACTTTTTTTTTCACCGAGAATTCACATGAACACTAAAGTATCCTATAAATAATTAAAAATACAAATGTCATATACAATTTACAAACATATTGATTCAATGACTTGAAATAAATGAATAAACAAACTAGATAGAAGCACGCCTTTCCTCCGAGAAAACACAATATTTACTTCAGTATACAAAAACATGTTTAACGTAGTGTATAATTCATATGCCACATATAAAAAATCTGCATCAATGGTCTGAAAAGAACGAAGAAAAACTGGTAACTTAAATTCGTTTAGGACGTCGTAGTTTCCGTGACACTTAGTTAACAATATACTATATTAAGAAGACTTACTACCCTGAGTGAAAATAGAGATCGATATAGTATTATTTCTGATGATCCATAATTGAGAAAGGTTGAACATTAAGGCCGGCCAAATACTGAGATATTTACGAGTAAAGTGTACGACTTTGACCTGTCCTTCTACTACTAATCAGCATAAACGTAACTCGTTGAATTTGACCCTATTGATTGTAAAGTCACAAGTTCCCAACAAAATTGTATCCAAATTGAACGCAGCGTTCAAAGCAGTAAAGTTTGCGATCAAAATATTCGTTTAATTGGTATAAAGATGACGCTAAAAAGAAGGGAAAACGTTTTCAAAAGGACAAAGGCAAAAACACTAAGCATTATTTAAACGTGGGTCTATATACACTGCATTATTTGCCAACTCGAAAGGAAGTAATGCCATAATTCAAATTGTAAAAAGTCCTTTCTATTTTGATATAACATACAGAAGTAAATGTCAACGGAATATAGCACATTAGTAGCTGAAAAGCTCGAAGAACTTTGGAGGTTTTCTTGCATATTTCTATTGGGATGTTTTGTCTTTGAACTGGTAACGTCACAGATGCGGGCGACCCATATCGAGGCGATCGCCACTGGTTCAAAGATGTACTTTCAGATAAATCACAGAATCGGAGAAAATGGATTAACTACGACGTTTTCACTTTAATGGTCTTTTATTGTATAATGATATGTATTCTATGGCTAAATATAGCAAACAGTTCAGGGTACAATGTTATATATGTCCTACTCAAAAGCAATTGAACGTTTGACCTGAAGTTAACAAGGAAATCAACCTATGAAAATAATGATTAATTTTCCGTGATCATTGCTTACTAGTTCATGCATACGAAGATTTTATCCTTTCATCAAATACCACTACATTACTGTATTGAAATATCAATACTTGATACACAATAAAAAAAGAGCACACATCATTACGTATATATTCCTGTTTTTTTACTTCAGTCAGAGTTATTTTTATACGTCTAAAAACCATCAATCATTGTATGCATGCTTTATCATGTAAAGTACTTTTTAAGCCACAAACTGAGATAATATGCGCCGGAAATATCAGGTATAAACATGCCTCTATCGATCTTCATATTTACAACGTTAGAAATCATTTAATTCACATACACTGACGTTTTCTTTGAAATATTTATATAATAACAAATCAGACAGAATAATCTGAATCCATTTTAGACACTGATAACAATATTATTATTATATTATTACAACTTTGCTTTCTGTGCCCCTAAGGATGTATTACATACATAACTTTCAGGTTGTCCACTGAGGAAATTTGGTAACAACAGCTGTGATTCCAACTGTGATACAACCTGTTTTAACAACCTTTGTCACCCTAACACTGGTCGATGTACATGTAAGTTAATAATTCGACACCTCTCGTGGATTGATTTAAACTTTTGATTTGATAACTCAAGACAGTTGAGCGTTTGCACTGTACCTGATCATAAAAATACATACATAGTATGTTTATACTAGGCGGGCTAAGATTTCAAGTATTTGCAGAAGGAATGTGAATAATTATATACAAGATTTTGGTACAAGGACGAGCTTACTGTTTCTTTTACTTTAGATTAACAGGGTTGTATAGCACTTGATTGATAACCATGTTGTTTAAGCGATAGAGGTAACGTTTAATGTTTTCATAATGTCAACAAATCTTTCCTTCATATTTCTCTATATTTACAGCAGAAATTCTAGAATATGGATTTTAATATCTTAACACCTTCGTACATTGTGCTGAGTAGCAGTCTTATGCTCGAAAAGGAAGTTTTTCGTTGAAGAAAAAACTGTAAATAGAAAATAGAAAAAGATGAATTTTAGATATGACACTTTATTCATGAGTGTCAAATATAATGTAACGTTTGGTAAGTCAGACCAAAATGCAGTCATTCATATAATAACTACCTCGACATCAACAATAATTTGTTTTACAATGTTTGGTTTCATTACAAGTTTATGTAAACATGTATAAAATCCCCTGAAGTACCTGTACAACTATTGATAGTGCTTACTTCGTCGTTTTAAACTATTCTCTGGGGCTCTGATATGTACAGTCGTATCTTAATACTAAAATAGGTGTGTGCTACTCCTGACAAAATGTCAAATCAATTTTAGATTGCGCAGAAGGATTTTTCAAAAACAAGGCTTTGTGTGTAGGATGTTTTGATAATTGTTTCGGGAAAATATGCGATGTGGAGACCGGCGTTTGCGCATGTAAGTACTGTGTCATTTCTAATTGCACATTGAATTCATTTTACTTTTATTGTTATGATTGAAATTGTCTGAATACATGTACCTGTAACTCAGAAAATAACTTCATTTCTATTTAAAAGAAGGAGTATTACTCACGTAAGGATTTATACACCATCAAATCAGTGTTTGTAATGCTTATACGTTGCGGCACTTTTCTACAATTAAGACGTGAATTTGATGATCAGAGTCGACAATCCTTAACTACATACCTGATATAATACACAACTTTCTTATACATCTTTATGTTTCGAAATGTGAGTGAAAATGCTTATTACATTGTAATATACGTTGATTCAGCTTGTGTGAAGGGGAACTATGGAAGCTTCTGTGACAACACATGCCCTGTCAACTGTAAGGATGGGGTATGTGACCAACATACAGGAGAATGTGAAGGTACGTCTATGGTAATAATGTGTCAAACTGATATTCGGCTACGAGAATGGACATCTACATAAGGAATCATATCGTAGTCAAATATATTTTCAATACTAATTTGGGAAGGTTCTGTTCTTCGCTTTGTATATTACAAAAAGGAACTGTGTACAGCTTAGCCTTTCAATCGTTCACATGAATATCGGTTTATTATTCAATGCATAGCCATATTGCCCTGGCAATATGTACATGCTCTTTCGTGCATTCAACGTGCTGTATTTTTAGCCTCTGTTATATTTCTGTCAAACCTGAGCTCTGCTACCATTAATAACTTATCTGTTATCTTACCCTACGGAATTTCCCTGTCCAATTATGTTGTGAAGACCACTGACATTTGAAATACCTTGCAAAGTTTCGACTTGTATAGGCATTGTTCAATGAAAATGTTTAATGTTTGCTACCGTTGTTTTAAACGTATCATGTTGCAAATTTATTTTTTTTATTGTCGTCATTGTACATACATCCAGACTGACAGGTGTATTATATCAGTCAACAGTCCGGCTTATTTCCTCGGTGATGGACCCAACCCGAAAAATATTTACCCAAAGTATGCAGATTCGGTAAAATGTCATTGTGTTGGACCAAGCACATTGGAAAATATGCTTCACTGTCGACTAATTAGGCGTATAACATTTTTATATTTATGCATTGTTAAGAATGTCAATTCATAACGTCGTTGAACAATAATCTATGATTGCCCCTTGCAATGACATATGTAACGCATACCTGACTCAACATAATTAGGAAACCGGTTATTATTCATACGCTACCTACTTGAAGAAGTAATCCCACGTACATGGACATTCAAAAAGAACTAGATAAACCAGAAACAACAAAACAAAAATAAAGCAAGGACAAAAACTAAACAAAACAAAAAATAAATAAATAAATAAAAACTAAATCCTATAGTTAGGCATTTTAAAATTAGAGGTCTTATATTGCAATTTTTCTCATTTAGAAAAAGACATTGCAATTTAATGATTTCTACTTAAGTGTAGGTTTTTAGATGTCATGTATCTTTCATTTATAAGGATAAAACAAACGACTGAGCAGAGTGTCCACTTGCCAACTTCGTAATTACATATTAAACTTATATATTACATTGATGTGTTTGAACATTAGGATTTATTGCTGATATAACTAGGCTGCAGTGGTCTTGATAGGGAGAGAATACGTGAATTGTTGCGATTTTACGTCCGATCATTAAATTTTTAGATGTCATGTATCTTTCATTTATAAGGATAAAACAAACGACTGAGCAGAGTGTCCACTTGCCAACTTCGTAATTACATATTAAACTTATATATTACATTGATGTGTTTGAACATTAGGATTTATTGCTGATATAACTAGGCTGCAGTGGTCTTGATAGGGAGAGAATACGTGAATTGTTGCGATTTTACGTCCGATCATTAAATTAAACCCCAGGAAGGAAATCATGAACATTCTTTCATTCTTCTTCTTTATATTGCCTTAGGTGTTGAACTCGTTCATATCGTCTCGTGACCATTTTTCCCCCTTATATTTCCGTTTACCATATGTAACACTCATACCTGTGTACAAGGATTTATTTATCGTTCTGGGCAAATTAATCTTACACAGAACGCTATATAGCGACAGATTTGTATCAAATGCAAAATCGATTTCTTTATATACGAGGATGAGCATTACTTTTCAATAAAAACATATCCCTTGCTTTGCGTCTTCATTTCATATTCATATGATTTGTAAGGCATCACAATATTTTGTTCTAAAATTTGTCCTAATATTACACCCTCGATAGGAACGGGTCAATTACTAACCCGTCCATTGTAATGAGTATTCAGCAAGCAGCAAGTAAAAAAAGAAATCGATATTTCCATTATTTAATTATTAACTTACTTTTGAGGACACGTGAGGCTTGCTGTTCCAAAAAAAAAATACCTAACAAAAGATATGATGTTTCATTTAATATTTTTGTATGACATGTCATTGAAACTCGGAATATAAGTGGATATGACTAACTCTTAGTTAAAACGGAAATTACCGAGGGATACCGAATTAGTGAATCGTTTCGTATAAATTCAATATTTTGTTTGAAATTTGAACACAATTTTATCAGGTTGATGTAAATGTACGTCGTTTGTAGTAAAGGAAATTCAAAGTCGATTGGAACGTAGTCATTACAGCGTATAATGTCATTCCATTGAAGAAGATTTCAAATATCTTCAAGTATGACGAAATCATAAGTAGTTATATATACAAACTTTATATGGATACAAGACTGTTTTATGAAAGAATACAAACCAATTTCTAAAATGGGAAAACCGCAGATAACTTGTTATCTGCATCAGTAAGAAACGATATTCGTCTCTCAATGAAAACATACTTAACTCATTGCCTTTCCCTAGATTCTATATGAAGGTGCTAATATAGATATGGACGTTTTGTGTTAAAATCATCCGATACTCCAATATATAAAGATCAAGCACGTTTGAGTCCAAACAAACGAAAGAACTTTTCACAAAAACCTAGCGTGATATTACCTAACTATATATAAACAAAACAGATATGAAGTAACCTTGTTACGTCACTTTTTGGATTCAAGTCGTATTGAATTGAAATGTGGATAATAGTCTTCATTGACGCCTTCTAAAGATTTAATGTTTTATCGTGTTCAAATTGTCTTGCTTGTTTAGCAAGCCTGTTGCCATTGTCATCAGCAACATGTCTTTTATTTGTGTTATGATTTGTAAAAATGTTTTATATCTTTACACAGATTGTGTTGATGGTTACCATGGCAGGAAATGTGACCAACGATGTTCTGATCACTGTAAGGGTAACGTATGCAATCAGGGAAATGGAACATGCAGAGGTACGTAGATCATCCCAAGCCTTGGGATATCAATAATTAATGTCAGTTACAGGAAAAATATACGGGATCTTAAAACAAAACGTGAAGGTAATAAACTTGTAAAAGGAATTCAGTTTGTAAAGCGGGAAGTAATATGTGGACAAATGATTTTCACGCACGCGCTTTTACATTTGTTAGGAGAATAAGATAAGCTGTTATTGAATGATAAGCGTAGACAATGCCAACGTTTCCTTTATTACATTTTCCATTTTTCAGTATCCCTGAATGCCAACAATTAAGCTAAAGACTCAATACTCCGTCGACATTTTCAAGATTGTGACGGAGAATTTAAACATCATTTGAAAGTTGCATATTTCCCGATATATTTTGATTTATTTTCGTACATTTTTGTAATCGATATAATCCTCGAAGTACAATAGTACAAATTATCAGTGCAGGGTCGGAGAAGCAATAAACATGTTTCTAAATTGCAGATTTTAAGCGACATATTTTAATACATTCATCCTTGTATTCTTCTAAGAGGACATAGATAAGATAAAACTTAATTGGCCCTCTTTATAGCAGCATTAAGAATTTTACTTTAGTTTCTTTCTTTTTTTCTCTGTCTTTTCCGTCGATGTCTCAATATTCTTTTGACATTGATTGTCGCAAGGATGTGCAACCCCAGACAAACAAATATCCACTCTTTGGCAAAATAAATCCCCATCGCCATTTCCATTTTTTTTACCAACACGTGGGCCTTCTTTTACGTGATGTTAAATAGTATATGTTTTCATATCTTTAATGTAGAAAAAACGTGTATAAACGTTAGACCCATAATGAAATTTAATCAAGATTAATCTGAATAATATCGTCACACAATGATTTCTTAATAATTGAATCTAATGCAGCAGAATCCGATATTGTTTTGGCCCTTATCATTCAGATCGAAGATCCGTATAAGTTAACTGATTAAGTGATAAAGCATTTTTTATGTATCTGCACACTACGACAAGAAACGATACACAACAATGAAAATGAATGAAAGAGGCCACCCTTACAGAGAAGGTGAAAATTTACAACGTATCTTACAGTTACATAAACCATAAAATGAACAAATATTGTTGTTTGAGTAGTTATAACAAAAAGCCAAAGTATTTTCTATCAACAGAAAATAACAATGATTAAATCGATAGAGATGTTTACGAAGAGTACAACCCATGATCGGGATTTTATTGTGTCCTTCCCCTTGTCTTCATTTTGAACCCCAATGTCCAGTAAATGAGTTCAAAAAATACATTCCAAGACTCGTGACATACATTCTCCTATTACCTTTTTTAACATTTTGATTCGTAATGGAATCAGATACACATTCCTACAATGAAGAGGTAAGGGTTTCAATGTTAAAGTTCTACTGTTTTTGGTTAGTGTTCCTAAAATGACAGATATTAGACGGCACTTGATATGTTCTGGGTTTCTAAAACATATATGTATACTAGATCCAGAATGCGCCCACACTCAAGCATCTAAAACAAATACATATTTTTTAATACTTTGAACATCAAAATGACAAATGTCTAAACCTACCTCGCAAAGGCTACACCAAACGCTACTTAGTAAATTATTTATTATTTCGGACTGTCATCATTTTCAGAAGTCAACAAAGTACAAATATAATTAATCACCGATTTGGCACGAACATTACGATATCGATGCGTGTTGTACCTTTCACTCATTGATGTCATTACCCTTCGCCCACGCCGCGTCAATAAAATAGAAAGCGTTCTATGTTCCGACGAAACAGATATTATACAGCAAATATTGCAATATGCATTTTTCTAGGATGTTGTAATTGTTAATATGTTTGAGGTACACATGTAGAATGACAGTTTCCATAAAGCTTTAATAACATATATGTTGACTGGTTGTTAAATCAGATTGTGAAGATCGCTATTTTGGGCCATATTGCGTTGCCTGCCCCAGTAATTGTTTGGATCCCGTTTGTAGCAAGACATCTGGAATGTGTAATTGTAAGTTTTCAGTCACTTGACACTTAAGGTATGCGTTCAACAAGTTATAAGTGACCTCATATTGTTTATTGCTGTTTCTAAATGTGATGCAATAACATTATCAAGTGTTAATCTTTCAGATGTTAATGTATGAAATACAACTGCATTTTATTCCATAAAGCTATGAAATGTTATGTAAAAGGTATGAAACATAAGCATTTTCATGGTATGTAATGCACGCACATAATGAATCAAATTGATATAGATGTGATGAGAAGTTACTGGAAAATAAAAAAAATAAAAACCGCTCGGTTTATTTTTGTGATTTGTGAAATCGTCAAAAGTTAACATCAGTTTGGCTGTCATGACTGTAATTCATTCCAAAGCCATGATTAAAATTCTACCTTAATATAAACAATTCCAGCTCTTTCCTCTAAACATTGTATAAATATTGATAACGAAGCACTATCACAACTTTTCGTTGCAGTGTGTACAAATGGCTACTATGGGATGCAATGTACTATGAATTGCTCTGAGCACTGTATGAATAATACCTGTCTGCAGAACGATGGACTATGCATTGGTATGGAGATAATTTACTGTGTGTTGGCCAGAAGTTGTGTTAATGTCTTGTCGTTGCAGTTGACGATAAAAAATATTGAAATCGAAAGGTTCAAATAGATGGAATAGAAATGGTCTTTTCAAAGTGTTAAGGTAGACCAGAAAAATCCCCACGTAAGGGGCTGTTTCAGCTCGAGGTTTTGTCTGTGGTTAGAAAGTAGATAATCTCTCCTCATTGTAGATATTTCCTTTTTCATTTGCCAAATATCAAGATAAATACAACAATGCATTATCAAAAACATGTAACAAAATTGCTTAATTACTGATATAGTGCATGACTTTGCCTAAACACAAATTAAAGACAAGACAAGACCCACTCCTCGACCGATACTATTTTATATTTAAAAAAAATCATGATTTTCTATTATAGAAAAAGTTCTCGCTAATCCTGTAATACAATTTTAAAGTAAATCGCTACCAATCTAAAGTAAATAAATAGTTTTTAAAAAATAAAGATTCGAAACGACTAAGTGCTAATTCATAATTATGCAGGAAGTCCTGCCCTCTGACGCATGCGCAAAAAACTGTAAATAAATCTGCCGTCTTCCAACACGGCAGAAAGCGTGCGAGGGAAGCGGGGAAGAAAACGTGTTATGATGGACTTTGAAGCGAAAAGAAGGAAGATAGCTGGTTCATACACTGTATCGCTTTCTGTTTGGTTCTCTCGTGTAGTATCACTCTAAAATCATATTCATAAATACTCTTATCATCGAATTTTCGCTTTAGATAGATCCATTTCGCGATGTTCTATATGTTCGTTACCGTATCGCTGCCCCATTTGAGGGCCTCTTTGTAATTAATCATATCTTTTCTCATTATCTGCACGTTTTTGTGTCATATTTAAGCATTGAAAGATGTGATCAATATATTATAGAGTATTGATTGCATTTATCGGTAAAATCTTTTTACAAGCGATGTCACATGGACGTACTACCCACCTCTTCCTCCATTCTGTTTTGGCTCTGACCGCGTCTAAACGTATCACGTGACATTTCTTATCAATATTCATATCCTGGTGTTGAGTAATGAGACTAATTCCGGCACCGATATCTCCGGTACCCTTTCAATTTTCAAGTTTATATAAATCTTTATTGATATGTTATCTGTTAGTATGCAACAACAGTTCAAGTCAATAAAATATGGAAAAATATCTATAACGGAGTGTGTCTGGCTCTTTATTCATTTTATAAACTTGTTTTAAAATGATAAAGCCCCTAATTACTGAAATATAAAAACTGTAATTACCATCTAACATAATCTTCATGTCAGCTTTCTTTAACGATATGCAGTTATAATGTAATTTGTAGGTGACCCACATTCAGTATGCTGAAACTATTTGGAGTGCCGCATGTACAGCACGTGAAACATATTTAGCACCATTTCCTTATGTCGTCATAATTTTCCATCGATTTCGAAACTCAGTATTATACTAGAATTTTATTACCAATTTAATTTAATTGAGTTCGGTTATCAAAATGGCGAACTTTTAAAATATTTAAAATGTGCTTGTGCTGCTACTGTATCTTATCATTACTGCTTGCTAATATCGTCAAGATGTCACTTGTAACGTAACAAGCTATTCAGGCTCCGTATAGGCTCAAGCTATGCATGTGGAGAACACTGAGCGATCGTGTTGATTACCTAGTAGATCAGCCACGTGGAAATGGGCAGATTATCGTGTATGACAATTCCCATTTGCGGAATATCCGTAAGCTACGTATATGACAGATACATCGAAGAGTATTATAATCCTACTCTGACCGGAATGGACTCCGTTTAATTGATAAAAGATAACTAATTTTAATGTAAATATGACTTTAGTTATGAAAATAATCCTGAAGCGCGCAATATATTTCTGGATGCCTTTATATCTCGAAGTCAACATGGTTGCCGAATCAACTCATTTAGACTAAACGTGAGTACTCAAAATACCTTTAGTTCACAATTTATTTGTTTGTTTTTAATCGAGGCAATTTGCCCAACTTAAACATTTTTGTCATCGAGACACTAACAACTTTTGTACATTTTCAAGTCAAGTTTAGTGTTAGCATAGGGACTACAACATTGAGAAGTAAACAAGTTGCCAGAGACCTATGAGACCATTAGTCTCTTGTACAATTATGTGAATCGTTGAGCGGAATGTTTATGTTTGCTGTAGTACATAAAAATAACCATGATCAATTATGATCCCCTGTAAGAATACATTTTTTAAAGCAATAAATGAAGTATCGGCTGTTCCTCTTTGTTAAATTATCAAAGGTCATTAGAACCCTACGTGTTGTGGTACGTAGGCAAGGGCACCTCTTTTTCTACTCTAAGAAAGGGGGATCACCAAAAGGCAATTACCTCCCCAATCGGAACAAAAGCGTCCATTTCAACAATATTAGTAGACGGTATAAATAATTTATAAGGTCATAGACAGTACCTCCTACCCGCTCCTAGTGCTTCCCTGTGGAAACATCTGATTTCTGACATGTTATTCTATCATAAGGTTGATCTTAAAATGCAATTCTCATTTTATATTCAAATTATTTGTTAATGTACCTGTAGATATATCATCAAATGACGTGTTCCTTGTCTGCAGACATTATTACATTGTTACATTTCATGCATAAAAAAGAATAGGAACGTTTACCTAAAAGTTAATGGTATTGGTGACGGGGCGGGTGATTTTGATGGCCTGTACGATACCGCACATTACGGGTTTTTTTTTTCAGAAATTTCCTGCTGACATGAATATCATGTAAGGCTTCCATTTATCCAACAAGACTAATTCATGTTTAAGCATATTCAATTGATATCCAATATGAAACTTATAGAAGAACGAAGATAGGAGTTGATTTTCTGTACCTGACTTTTGTTCTATTTTCAGGATGTGTTTTGGGCTATTTTGGCAGTACATGTGACCAGACATGTCCATCTAACTGTAATGTCAACCTATGTGTCCAAGCAAACGGCGTTTGTATAGGTTAATATTGCTACTTAATGCGTTTATTTCAAACATCATGGCCAAGTTTTGAAATTATTCCAGTTTATGTGTTCTTTCCGATGAACTGAAAATCGATATCGTATTGATAAAAATATACCGGCCGAAACATTTACCAAGCCTTGTATATCTGATATGAAATATGTATGAAAAAAAAAGCCTTGCAATTTCCAGTCAATCTGTATTTCTGTGAACATTCAGGGTGTAGACAAAGGTTTTTTGGAAACACATGCAACTCCCGCTGCCCTCTACAATGCAAAGATATCACCTGCATCCAGTCTAACGGACAATGTGAAGGTATGAAACAAGAGTACTATTTACTTCTTGTAATCAAATATGTTTGAAATCTAGCAAAACAAATATCCAGTCAAAGTATTTTACATTCAGGCAGATTCTGCTAGAAAACAAAACATCATTTTACATTGATTTTGATTTACAACCGACGTCTAAAATAAACACAAAACATACGTTTCATGTATAAATAGTTTATATATCAATTACATTCCTACTATACATGTACTATTCTAACGTCCTGACATCCAATATTGAATTTTCTCTAATCTCTGCATGCTGATGTGTATGATGCTCTCAAACACACGACAGAATTCATTGTAGATGGAAATTTACACGACCTAACTTACAATAGTTTGATTGGCTTGTTTCAATCACGTCAGTGTAAGATTATGTACGGCGATGCAACGTTATGTCATCAGAATACTTTTCGTATTCCATAAAATGTAATTAAACGTAAATATCACATAAGTTCAAATTCCGTTTGTGATATGAAACTATAAAAACACCAATACCATACAACGACACCAGCACATTTGGTTTAATTAAAGATATATATCAAATCTGTGAGTATTTACCTAAGCCTGGATATGGTACATTATTTAAATGAGTTATTAACTTCAAAACTTTCAGAATGTGAACCTGGTTATCACGGTCTGAAGTGTGATCGGATTTGTCCGTCAACTTGTGGGAAGAAAGCATGTATCCAGATCAGTGGTTGGTGTACAGGTACGGGTTTACTCATGAACTGATTTTCGTTGTACAATGTTCGTGATTTTTATTTGATTTTTTTTTTTTTTTTTTTTGCCTGTAGATAAAGCATCCAATGGCGTTACTCTCGTCTGCAGACATTATTACATTGTTACAATACATGCATAAAAAAAGAATAGCAACATTTACCTACAAGTTAATGATATTGGTGACGGGTCGGGTGATTTTGATGGCGTGTATGATACCGCACATTACGGGGGTTTTTTTAGGGGGGTTATTTATTTAGAAATCTCCTGCTGACATGAATAGCATGTTTTTTGTGTTAGACTAACATTTATCTAAGGAGACTCATTCCAATTTAGCATATTCAATTGATATCCGATATGAATTCATTGTTGAATGAAGATATGTGATATGAGTTGTAATTCTGTACCTGAATTTTGTACTGTTTTCTAAGAGAGACTATTAAAATGGTTTGTATAGTAATATCTATTTATGTTTCTTTTATTTTCAAACTGCAAATTATGAAACATTTTCTTGATTTCGCTTATTCAATAACTCTTGTAAATCGTAGCAACATACATTGCTATATCAGTCTAGTGGAATATTGGTTCTTCTAGAATGTGAGGCCGGATTCCATGGTAGAAACTGTACCAAGATTTGTCCAAACAGCTGCAGAAATCACATATGTGAACAGGTGGATGGGCGATGTACAGGTAATAACATGTCATCTGATTTATTTCCCTTCTTAGAAGTTAGGAAGGATGTCCGTGGGAAAAAAGTTCAGTGACTGACAACATATTCGCTGGCTTTTGTGGTAAGATCTTCTTATATGGATATGTCTATGTCGCATATTTCCCATATATAAACCAACGTTTTTACCATGTCCAGAACATTTTACTATGGGAGGGAATCCAGAGTACCCAATGGAATATCCACGTGGTCAGTTTGAAGAAAGTGACCCCAAATCTCTTCACGTCCGTTACAGGAATCGAACCCCAGACGCATTGGTGAAAGGCGAGTGCGTTCACATAATAGTGATAAGTCATATCCAATAGCTGATTTCGGTTTTAATCTCTACTTATTTATGATTATTACTTTTTTCATTTTTTTCAAGAATGCAAATTCGGCTTCTTTGGCCACGCATGGTTAGACATGTGTGGCTACTGTCAGGATGAAAATTGTGACAAGGACACTGGGTCTTGTTTGTCTCCATTTGCAAATGGAATTACTGGTGATAAATGTGACATCAAACGTACCTTGGCGATAAAAAGCTAAACCTACAGGAATGAACATTATTTCGATATTCAAAATATAATGTAAAAATGTTTTGTATAAAGGATATGACATTCATAAGAGTCATTCTAAAATCCAACAAAAGTGCGAATATATAATTAAAGATTTATTAGACATTTGTTGATACATAGTCTATCATTGTAGTTGTTTATATACCGGGTGTGGAGGATGACTTCAAAGTCGCGGCATTCGGAATAGGAGTCGGATTGGGAGTGGTTGTTATTGTGCTGGTCATTGTGATCATCGTAATGGCAAGACGACGTCATTCAAGGACCAATAGAGACACCACCAGATCTGCCACTACGGCTAACATATCCATGTCGAGTATCGGACAGGAGCTGCCAGGAGATTCAGGTGACAAAACATTGCTTTCTATTTTTTTAACAAGCACATTACCATTATGTGGCATGGAGGGAAAGTCGATACGACACATTTCTTTCATCTATATCTTACGATCGGTTCATCTACCAACAACTAATACTCAGGCCGTTGCGTATTTAATCTATTAATTGACTTACAGAAATGGGTAAAACTTGTATTGTTTTGCCAAATATTTCTATTAAACCTCATCCATGTTATACATAACAAACCAACACGATAATACCAACATGTTAACATAATCATAATCCAAACACGTACAAGGGGAATAAGACCAGGTGATCCGCAAGAGTAAGTAGCTTCTGATACTCAGATATATATTAAACTATTGAAATTCCTATCCAATAAACGTACGTTCTATCCGCGTTTGGTTTCAGACGGACAGTACGAAGTAATAGGTGCAATGGCGAGCAAACAAATCACCACAAAAATATCGCCGGATGACAGTTATGAAAAACTGGGACCTGGAGATAAAGACGTTCCACATCTATACGAAACTACAGAAAAGGCTAGATGTATGTCGATGTGAAACCTTTCAAATAAATGTGTAATATATGAAACACTGTTAGTGAATTTACATTCATAGTAAGTATGATTTTATCCTCACTCGAGACTATTCTGGACTGTATTAACACGATAGTGCTATATACCAGTAAGGGTTGAAATATCATAATCATAAGGTATAGTATTTCTTGATATAATAGGAATTTATCATCGTGATATTTGTACATATGCATGTGTTTGTTGCAGTTTCATTCACTTTTTGCATTTAATATACCCATTATAAATTTGTATTAAACAAACGTTGAATTTGCTTTTTGTGTTTTTACGAACAATCTTCGAGCTTTGTTGATAGTAGACACTGCCGTTGGGCTTTTTTGTTTGGGCTTTATGTTTTTAATGAAACTATGAAATTTATTGAATTTTGGGATAAATGGATCTCCTTATTTGGGTTTTAACATTTATATGGGCCTTTTTATTTTCCACATTACCTCCAAGGTTTAAACTTTTTAGGTCTTTAGAATAACCGACGAGCCCACAAAGGACGAGAGAACTACCTACTGTATGTTTATTGGTATTGAAAAATGTTATCACACCTTTGCCTTGATTAAAATGCAATATTCTGGGCCCTTCTCGTCATATCATGTATTATTTAAAGATGATGAAAATACATTGTTAATCTATTAGATGTACATTCTAACGTTATAACTTTATTTTGATAATTTAAAAGCTGTCGATTAAAGAGTATTTTACAAAAGCTCATTAAAACGGGAACAGGCATTTTCCAGCAGGACCAAGATGATTTTTTGTATGTATGTATTTATAATCAGTTCTATTTTAATATACAATTCGGTAACATTTCTTGTTGTACATTATATCTCCCTGTATCAAACGTATTCTAATTATAGTAGTAATGATATCACCATGATAGCAAATATGTTATCTACGTAATTTACGTATGTACAGTATAATCACGTTATATCAATTATTCTGACATGAAAAGGAGTCCCAGGAGTGATAGCCTATCTTCCACGACACTGTTATAATTATGATAAATAATATAATTACATAAACTCAAACTGAAACATTGAAACTGATGATAAATATTTAGTTTTAATATTTTGATGTCATTTTAATTGTAGATAAGTAGCATATCACTCGATATTATGTACAATTATGGAAACCTGGAAGGTTTAATCAAATACTGACTGCAGCAAGTTCCTATCTAAAAACAGCTGCGGTATATTGTTTATTGTGTCGCCATAAACAACAGTCACATAAAGTAGTATGATTACAAAACTAAATTGATTTTTTTTCATACCGAAAGGGACTCATGTCCTATTTTGTTCATCTTGTCGTTCAGATGTAGTTGTTGCATACTATACAATTATAGAATTTTGATGGTGTCAGTATATGATTTTATCGCACCAACCAAGAGCAATATCGCCGATATTTACTGACAACAAAGTCCAAGATTCCAATTGTTTTAGTAGGCCTGATCAAATTATAAATTTAGCTGATCAACATGCTAGTACTGCTCTATTATCTAAAAAATGAAAACCTTTTGATCGGAAGGTTTTAATTTTTTGTTAAGATAATAAAGAAGTTCAGAAATATCGAAATTATTTTCATGCGTTATACATAAATACTAATAATGAACTTTCGTATTGCTTTTGTTGGATTGCGGGGCACATGGGAATACCAGGCAATGAAAAAGCAGATCGTGCCGCAAAGGAAGCTTTATCGCTACCACCTGTTGTTTTTAAATTCCATTTTACTAATTTTAAACCATGTGTCAAACAATTTTAAC